TCGATCCCCACATGGGACACCACTGTGTGTGATTCATAAATTGTTGTTCTGAGTCTGGGTGTTCCTTGTGTCCGTTTTATGTATGTTTGTAAAGTCCCACGCGACACAGGATATATATTCCTAATGCGGGAGTTGTCTTTTTAAAAGAAAAAAAGGAGATAAATTGGATTTTTTATACGAGTAACTTAAACATAGTGACTTACTTGTATTATTTTATTTTTACATAAATTTTAAAAGTCGCAGTTTACTAACTAAGATCTTCCCTGAAGATCTTCCTAGACATCAGTTGATGTGTGTAAGAATCAAAACGTAACGACAAAGCAGACGATGTAATGTTATATTTAAAGTGATAAACATTTAGGAGCACTTAAAACTAGCTTCATAGACAAACCAGACTGCGTAACCATAAAAGATCCTCGCCAAATATATCCTTCAAACTGCTCCGACCTGTTCTAATCAAGATAAAAGAGTAACAATGTTTTCCCTAACACCACGGGTCACATAGCGTTACGCAATTCAAGCAAAATGAAACAATAAAACTGTCACACACACTGATTCCTTGCGTCATGGCGGTAACGCAAGAAAAGCAATTTAAGGTGATTATGAGGTAGTGTTTTTAGGGACGCGCCTCGGTGACTATAAGGTACTCTCACACGACCTGCTTTTGAATTGACGATGTCGTTAACGTTACTTGCTAAAGGTATGTGTTTGTGTGCATGAGTGAGTGTATAACTGTTGATTGTGTGTATGCATGCCAAACATTCACGGAGAAATTAATGGTTGCTAAACTGTTTCAAATTCCGTACATGATTTTAAAGGACTTGCATGGTTGAAACATAATTAATAGACCATTATACAGTTATACGTGTAATTAGCAATGTCTTGTCGTTTAAAGAGACACAATTAGAAATGCTTTACGTTGCAAAATCAGCGAGTTGCTAGAATCTAGTTATTTCGACTTCAACTAAAGGGTTACAACTCCCATTACGGGTAAGGAAATTCAAGGGCTCTATCACTCGCAACGTTTTGTGTCAATTTTTATTGATGGAAACTTAGTATTTGAAATGCTAATATGTGTATGTGTGTGTGCGTGTGAGTTTTTGTTTGTAACTTTTACGTCTAAATTACTCCACCGATCACCATTAAATTTTGTATGTAATTTGTCAGGGGTTGACCCCTGACAAAATGCATACAAAATTTGATTTCAATTTGATGCAAAATTTGATTTGAATTTGATTTCGAACCAAAATACCTATTGTATATTAGCTATTTATGTATGCACTGAGAGTGCTTACTTTTGTGGACTACGACCACGTACCTGGAAGTTTTTACTTACAAATAAATTTGAATAAGTTTCTAGGCAAGTTACAGTGGGAAATAAATATTTGCAATGCGTTGATTAAAATGTCTATAAGACATTTTAAAGTATACCTAAATCTTTATATAAAAAAGTGGTGTTTCATTACTGATTGATTCGATTAATCTTTTTTTTTTAAAGATGTTGTGAAGTCTTTAGTTCAAACTTTCTTGAAAATGTGATCCAGTGAAATAAGGGCCAAGGGTCATAGAACTTGTAAGGTTTACACCCCTCATGTATCGTGTTATCATTACGTCAATCAAGGATCGGATAAACCTTGATTTATTGTTGCAATCATAATAAATAAGGCAATGTCTACCATTGATTTATTAATTATGATTTTAAATAATGCATGCTTTTTGATAGTTTTGGAATTTAGATTCTTTCAAATTTATCTAGAACAATTTTGACCCACGAATGAAAACAAAAATCTTTAAGGTTCACAGGTTTACTTTAAGCACAGCTCACCACTACAATACCAGTAGCGAGGGACAACCTTTAGCTGTTATTCAGGCAAAGCAAAAGACATGGAAGCAATTTAAACCAGCACTCCAATTCTGTAATACATTTTGTAATATTCTATGAAGTGACGGTGGCTTAATTACTTGTCGTTGAGGTTGCAGATTCGAAGCCCACACTGTATGACCAATATCACTAGTAAAATAGTTTTACAAATACTCAGTTTTTTAAATAGACTGTGTTGTATATCGATGTTTGTTTAGAATGGCAATGTTAAGTTTGTCTTTCGAATCTTGAGATAGCACAACTCGCATTCGGCCCATTATGTCACACACACACATTTGACACATTCAAAAAGGCTAAGGGCGTGATTTAGTGCCGTTTGCTGGGGTTTACTGCATGGTGAGTTAAGTCCGATACACATCCATGTATTTAGGCGTTACTGCCATAAATATTGTTACGATGGACATATGTTGTAATAAGTCCATGAAGCTTTCTTTTATCCCATTAAAGACACATTCATTTCTTTATCGTATAGGAGGGCGAACTAGTAGTTGGGTCACCTGATCGTAAATGACTACCACCAGAAGACCACCCATAGACGTCCAGAAACAGAGGGAGGAGGGGTTTGAGCTTCGGTAACCTCGATCACTTGGTGAAAAGCTGCGAAAGAATTGGTTAACATCGGTTGAACCGAAGTATGACTTTCATACATTTATAATATAATATAATATAATATATTCTACCACATACACACAACGCCATCTAGTCCCAAACTAAGCAGAGCTTGTACTATGGGTACTAGACAACTGATATAAATACATATATACTTTTTTTTTTATGTAAATACATACATATTATACATAGAAACACCCAGACCAAATCAAACATCAAATGTTCATGCACACAAATGTTTGGCTTGAGCGGGAATCGAACCCGCGACCTTTGGAATAGCAGTCCGTTACACAAACCACTACGCCATCCAGTCGTCATTTCTATCATCAACAGCCTTTAATAGTCCACTGCTGGACATATGCCTCTCCTTAGAAAGGAGGTTTTGACCTACTATACCACGCTGGCCAGACGGATTGGTATAGGGTTTGTTTCAAGTTTTTCTTCTCTTTGCAGTTCTGTTGTCCTGCGTAGTTTGCTCCCTTAGTCGGCTTTTACGACACCCGTGGGATGAATAGGGGTGGTGACAGTGTGTATTCTTAATTCATTACCATATGGATACATTTCTAACTCTTCTTATATTAATTTCATTCCAAGAGTTTCATGACCTTTTCTGTTCATTGGTCAATAGTATAGTTACTCCTGATGTAAGTAAAAAAATCTCAATGAAACGTCTTTTTCATGTTGAGTTCCATTCAATTATTGTTTTAGGAGTAACGAAGATGAGTAACAATGTTTAACTAGACTGTACTCTCAACGTTACAACAGTAATTACTTAGTTTCAACGTGTTCAATCGTTAAAAACCTACGCGAAAACAGTTCAAAGAAACGGTGACTTGAAAATGAAACTTCGGGTAAACGACACACAAAAAATATATTGGTACTTGGTACTTATTTTAATTTTGTTTGTAAGAGGCTTAAAAAGCATAAAAATTTTAAGCTGACAAATTTGCGTTCTATAGTTTCTAATAAATCGTAAATAGTTCATAGACTTTTAGTTATGTTTTATCATCAATTGTTAGTGTAGTGGTCTCTCTAAACACAGGTACAGAGTCATACCTGGGCCTTTTTTATGGTATTGGGAAACACCAGCAGACGGGTCGTCTGATGAAAAGTGACAAAAACAACAACGAAAGCATTTTTTTTGTTTGACATCTCCTGCATTAGGGTCCTGCTGTGTCGCGGGGGACTTCAGAAACATACATGAAAGGGACGCAAAGAACACCCAGACTCAGAACAACAACTTGTGGATCTACGCCATCCGTGCAGTCAAAGCATTGTTTAAGATAGGTTTTCTGTGAGGCCATGGTGTCACTCTGGTGATGGTACCAAAGCATGGCTCTCCCAAGGTAGGTGTAACTCTGTGTACTGTGGACTACAGTGTAACTCCCATTTCTGCCGCGGTAATTCTTAGCCTATTTCCCTCGCACTATCCGTTATCCTTACCACAAAGTCTCTCTTCCAGTGTTAGGTATACGATAGGCTGCTCATGATTACATATTATACAATGCCGGTGCGCGTGTGTTCGTAACGTTTTTCCTCCTAAATAGCTGCATCGATTTTTAGGACTTGTTTGCACTTATGATGTCTTCTGGATGGTTTAAGATTTATGTACATACGAGCTGACACTGACCAGCGCTACCTAGTCTGCCATGCACAAAAGGAACAAATTTGCCATAATTTTACAAAAAATTTCATTGATACTCGGCCTATTGGTAGTAGCGTGGTAACCTATATCCTTCTATAAATGGGCTATCTAACACTAAAAGATTTATATAATTCGATCCAGTAGTTCCTGAGATTAGCGCTTTTTTCATTCACATCTTCAGCTTTTTAATGTTAGGATAAATATGGAGTTATTAGCGCTGCTCTGATCCAGAACTTTATTAATCTATTTAACTTTTTAAATTTTACTGGTTTCATTGCATAGACTTTTGTGTCAGATGGTATATTTTTATACATTGAAAGATTTATTGCAAACTAAAATATCTTAGTAACTCTATTTAGTTACTTATAGCATAATAGTCATTTATTTATTCAGTAAGTGATTTTTTTTTTTAAATTCGTTCAGAACTATAAGTCTTAGAGTGTAACCGTATCCCACGGACGTTTGCAACGCGTTGTCGATCGTGTAAAAATCTTTATGATATTTAAAATACAAACAAACTGTAAATTGCTTTATGTTAAGAGTGCACACAATAAATCTACGTGAAGATTTTTTAATTTGAAAGAAAAGTAAATAATAAACATTTATAATATATTTAGAGCATTGACTAATCTAAAGAATGGACAACTTCAATACTATGCATGACTGTAGTAAAAAATAAATAAAAAGAAAATATTTAAACTCAACATAATTTAATAAAAAGTTAACCAAAAGTCATGAAAAATTATTTAATATAAAGCTAAAAACGTCTACATTAAAAATTACTTTTCGTTACATTTTACAAAATCATCTGTACACCTAACCGCACAAGCATATATTCATAAAAAAAAATGAAAATCTACTCACGAAATATCCAGCCATTTTCCTAACGACGCGCACGCAGCTCAAAGTGCTTTAACAAAACAACGCGCCTGCGCACGAACAACACTCTTATATGAGACGCGTTTGGATGTGTCATAGGGATAAATTATAAACATTCAGTTTTTGGTTGTAAACTACGCAATGTTTTAGAATTCTTGCTCAGCTTTACAAAGTCTGAAGAAACATAAAGTTTAGTTACGGGACTTGCTTTACTAGATGTTTTTTAAAATTTAAATTTTCCTTTGTATTCGGTTCGATGCCGACACAGAACTGTAAGGTAAGTAAGGTATAGGCCAAAGGGGGTTTAAAAAAAAAGGTATTCTTTTAATACTTGGTTTTACGTTTTTTAGCCATCTCTTAAGTACGTACCCCCGATAAAAGAGTGTTATAGCACACGCAGGTTGGGCTTAAGGTTGGGCATCTCTATACGAGGCACCTCGTATAGAGATGTTACGCCCAAGGTGCCTCCTTTTTAAATACATTTGATTAATTTTAAGCTTATTTGTGTTTTCTTTATCTTTCATAATTATCAGATTCTTTAGTTTACATGTACATTATTTGTCACAAAATGTAACTTTAGACATTTTTTTTTGTATTATTATCTCTGCGTGTGAGATGATGTCTGTTAACTGCCCGGACCGGTACGAGGACCGAGCCGACCTCGATTGAGGCGCCGGCGGGCGGACCACGACGGGGCCCATGAAATAATAGGGCCTCCGTCTTATCCAGGGCCACCCGCAAACCCAACGCCTCAATGCGCCCGACCACCAGGGAAACTCCCGTGGCGGCCAGGCGCGCCGCCTCCTAAACTTGTAACACCCTATTCCAACCCGTCTGACCAGCGTGGTATAGTAGGCCAAAACCTACTTTCTCAGGAGAGGTGTATGTTCAGCAGTGGAGTATTAAAGACTGTTCCTTTCATTTCAATGTACTCTTAATTTTCCACTTTAATCCTTAAAGTGCCTGGTTGACGGCTTGCTCCCTTATTACTTTTATTTTAGATGGCAAAATGATGGCGTCGTAACATGCTTCTGCTTATCCCTTAAAACCTTTTGTGTTAGTATGTATGATGATCAAGATCAAACATAATTCAATTTTATCCGTAAGATAGTGTATAGAGGAATAAAAGCATTTTCGATAAATGAATCACAGCCGTACATCTTTGTCAGTGTATTGTCAATGACGGAAATAGAAAATTATAGATAGACATGTAAATACTTGCTATTTGATTTATTGCATAATTATTATGATTTCACCTCACCATTATAGTACATCTTCCATCCATCATTATCATGTTCCTGCTATTTTCCAATTATTTCTTTTGGGTCGACGTAAAGTTTAAGATTGCCGTAGGTTTTGACTAGTTTCTTTAATGGCCGGCAGCCTGTCTGATGCCAACCCTTTTTGGCAATATAATCTTTTTCGTATAAAAAGGATTAAAAAGGTAAATTGAGGTTGAGAAAGTTAGGATAAAAGATACATAAAGTTTCGAATGGGAATTGGGAGATAGGGTGCAGACAGAGAGGTACCGTTATCGATATCCTGTAGTTCAAAATGTCTCTAGCAGAGAAACAATAACTCGCCATTCAAGAATGGCTTCATGCCTATACAAATGGACTAAGTGTAAAAGTAGCTCGAAACAGGTACCCTATACCTTTGACCTTCCTCCTATTCTTCTTTCCCAAGCTAAGTTGGTGTCGGCTTTAAGTGTACTTCGACACAGCAGTAAAATTTGCCATCAACCCAAGTACTAGGCGATATCCAAGTTCTGTAGAAAAACTACTATCGGACCTTTAGGGCTCATAATCGTTACGGTTGGTTACCCGTAACGATTGTGACAAACATTTATAATTGCTTGTGCAAGTTCTTGTGTATTTGCTTCCTCTAAGTTTATTCATTTCACCATGATTTGATTGACGACCGGATGGCATAGTGGTTTGTGTAACGGACTGCTATTCCAAAGGTCGCGGGTTCGATTCCCGCTCAAGTAAAACATTTGTGTGCTTGAACATTTAATGTTTGATTTGGTCTGGGTGTTTCTATGTATAATATGTATGTATTTACAAAAAAAAAGTATATATGTATTTATATCAGTTGTCTAGTAGCCATAGTACAAGCTCTGCTTAGTTTGGGACTAGATGGCGTTGTGTGAATGTGGTAGAATATTATTATTATTATTATTTAAAACTGTTAAAAATCTTGACGGGCAGTACACTCCGATTCCTGGGTCAAATATGATGACTTAAAATAGAAGAGAGTTTTAACAGTATAAAACTCTCTTCTATTTTAAGTCATCATATTATTAGTAGTTTTTTACTAAATCTCGTTCCTGTCACCTTTCAACGTAAACAACACTTCGTGGTCGTTGTCTTTCTCACCACTTTTCTCCGCAAAACAGAAACTCCGACAAAGAAAATGTCTGTCTAGGGGAACCGTCAGAACTAGGCAAAATTACTCATAAAAGCAGCTTCTGATAATAGTAACATATATTAAACTGCGAAGGACAACAGCTCTGCAAAGAGAAGGTAAACTTGAAACAAACCCTATACCAACCCGTCTGGTCAACGAGGTACTAGTATAGTAGACTAAAACCTCCTAAGGAGAAACCGATGTCCAGCAGTGGACTATTAAAGGCTGTTGATGATGCCGATGATGATGTTTAATTATTACCCTTTGTCATAGATTGATGACATATTGCTGTATACTTGGCATCTTACCAAAACAAGTACAAACATGTATTGTTCCTCATAAAATATTCTATTCGGAAGTGAAGATTTACAAAGACCCATAGTTTTAGAAGCCGGGAGCATATTTATTTATATATATACTTTGACAAGCGCCATAATACAAGAATTTAAATCTAAAAGCCAGCTTGACTTTTTAGTATCAGTAATATAGCCGACTAAGGGCGCAAAACAACGCAGGACACCAGCACTGCAAAAAGACGGAAAACTTGACACAAACCCTATACCAACCCGTCTGGCCAGCGTGGTATAGTAGGCCAAAACCTCCTTTCTAAGGAGAGGCCTATGTCCAGCAGTGGACTATTAAAGGCTGTTGATGATGATGATGATGATATATCTATCACAGAAGAAACTGACAGATTGATTCACCGACTGATTGATCAACGTACAGCTAAAACCGCAGGGTCGAGAAGCGTGGAATTTGGCACAAATATCCCTTGTGATGTAGGTATGCACTAAGAAAGGATATTTAATAATACCAATAATGGGTTTTGGTAATTTATATGAAACTACGTTATTTTTAGTAATAGCGTTTCCCTAAACTTCAATTTTTGGCAGCTGATGCTTTTTATGTTGTAAGAACCCGCTAAGAAAGGAATTTTTGGAAATTTCGCACAATTTAAGGGACTAAAATAAGTGGGGTTTGGTTATATTAAAGTCCGTCACTTTCATAGTTAAAAACACGAAATTTAGAAATGATCACACGAGCGAAGCCATTGGCAATAGTTAGTTTGATTAATAATCAAAATGACCAATTAGGGCAAAAGAAATTCAATTGGGTAACCCAGCATTGTCCCTTCGTTAGTTGGACCACCCTCAATTTCGCTTTGCTAAGGATAGACAATTTTGGCTCCGTGCCCGATAATAAGGCTAGATAGAAGAGACCGATGGTTGAACCTGGTTGCCTTCCTGTTCCATTTTAATATGAAGGGATTTCTCTTTAGCCGTTCGGATTGACGGTGCGCTCCTGTATATATGTCTGATCCCAAACAAGACAAAGACCATGGTGAACAGACTGCTGATAACATAATTATGTATTGCTATATACGAGATGATACTTACACACAGAATAAATTACTCATCAACAGCCTATACTAGTCCACTGCTGGACATAGGCCTCTCCTTAGAAAGGAGGTTTTGGCCTACTATACCACGCTGGCCACACGGGTTGGTATAGGGGTTGTTTCAAGTTTTCCTTCTCTTTGCATTGCTGTTGTCCTGCTTAGTTTGCACCCTTAGTCGGCTCTTACGACACCCACGGGATGAATTGGGGGGGGGGGGGGGGTGACAATTTGTATTCTTAATGCGTCACCACACGGACCGGAATAAATTACTGTCACACAATAATTTGTTCTGGGTGCAAATCAAACCTACGATATCTGCCTCAGTTGGACTCACAAATGATTACGCCGACAGGCCCGTCCATCAGTGTGAATTCGAAAATTCTAGTCACACAAGGTGATTTCACACTATTTAATTAAATAAATTTATTTAAGAATTTGTAAAACGGAATGGAAAAGAAAATGAAGAAACTTCTACCTCATGGATTCGACGGCGAAGGGCGCGCACCGCTGCACCTTTCAGCCTGTACCCAAAGCCATTGCAACCTGGTCGAGGCATCAGGTATTTCCAAGGTACTTAATACCTACCTGATCCTGCGTAACGGGAAGAGGCGACGACAAAGAAGAAGATTAATTTTGTACACATACGTGTGTCATAGTTGAAATATAGTTCTACAATATTGTAAATTTTTACAGTTTTTACAATAGCTAATGATGGTAAAGACAATTAACATCAAATTTGGATATTAAAACGAAAATTAACCAATCGTACATAACTTTTCTGGTCAAGTATAAATTGAGATGCTAAAAGTATCATTAGATATTTGCTTTGATCATTGGATCAGTTATCAGGGCCTCAATTCTGCTATTTTATGTTCACGCCAAGCCACTGTCATACCACTGACACGCTATTGAGATGCCATCGAGTGGCTATTGGCATCCAAGCAAGCAATTGCAAGCGCCCATAGAGTCTCTCGCTTCTACATTTTTGTCTAAGTTTTTCAATTTTAAAAGACGTTTTAAGGTTTCTTTTAAGATTTTTATATTATTCTTTTCAGAAATGTAGAATGCAGAATCAAATTACCTCCATAACAAATTCCATTTAAATCGGTTTAGCGGTTTAAGCGTGAAGAGGTAACAGGCAGACAGATAGATATACAGACAGACACACTTTCGCATTTATAATATTGAGATA